TTTAATCTGCAAATAAGCATTCAATACAAGAGGGAAATTACCTTGTCACTGCTGTCTACCTGAATACAAATCTCTCTAAAAGTCCAAATATCTTAGAGAGGATAAGGGGTATGTCTCATTTCTCATTGACCTGTTGGTTTAATTTAACCTACTGTTTTGGTCTTTTCATAACACAGGCACTTTAGACTATTAACAACAAACTACATGTATAGTTGTAAATACATAAACATAAATACATTTAATAATATATTCTTAAATGAGAACTATGCTTTTCACTCACCTCATAGTTCTAGCCGACCTGTGACAATGAGATTGTCACAGGTCGGCTTAGTAGATCGCGAGGTGAGTGAACACATACCAGCATTCGCTCACCTCTCGATCCTGTCACAGCTCTCTGCCGTGACAGGGGAGGGGCTGGATTCCACCCTCCCTGCTCCGATCCGCCAGCGCTGACTCGGGGGAGGGGGTGGGTACAGCTGGCTCTGCCTCTAGATAGGCAGAGCCAGCTGTCAGTCACGCAGCTGGGCGGATCCAGACATAATTGTCGGGATCCGCTTCAGCTGCGGCGTCTCAGTATACCGCAAGCTACAGCTCGCGGTATACTGAGCCTAGGGTGACGGGAGGACGCTAGTTTGTGTCCTCCCGTTACCCTAAGGAGAACTATGGGGAAAAGTCTTAACCCCATAGTTCTCTAAGCTCTATATTCTAAATGATTAATTTAATATATAACTGAGTTAGGTGATTTTGAAAAGCAGGGGATAGGAAAGTATGTGATTCTAAAATGAGATCCTATTTGCCACTATACCTTGAAAATTTGTTTAGGTAGAATTGTTCCTGTGCCATTTGTACCATACGATAAAAAAAGACAACAGGATTGAAACTGACCAAAGACATAATCATACTGTGGGACTGCATAATGCAACTGTAAGTGTAGAATAGTTATTAATGAATAGCATGTATTTAGAGTTTTAGAGAAGGCCAATAGAGAAAATCACTGTGTATAGCATACCAAAGAAAAGCTGATGTGGTATAGAGGAACAGCACAGGGCCTACTGATTGACTTGACATTAATTAAAATTGTATTTTTAAGATTTGAAATTTTACTTTATGAAAACCCATTCTCTGAACTGAACTTTTTAAAATTATTGGTGGCATATTTTTTATCACTAGTATGTTTTAATATATTTTCAATATATATTTGTCTCTGTGACTGCTGCTGCACTACCATTCAAGCAAGCTTTACCAGTGGAAGCGTGATTGAGTGATATAACTGTATAATGGTTAGATAATGTTAATTCACAAATGCTGTCAAATATTTGCTTTTCTAAAAACCTTCAGACAAATCTGGTCTGTCAGGCATGGAGTGGACATTTCAGAGTAACATAGTCCAGACCCACTGTACTCTTTAAAAAATAACCATACATAAATACATGACAAATTTTAAATATTTTAATATTCAGGTGAATTACCCATCATTTCTCATAACCATTATAAACATAGTTTTAAAGAAAAGCTGTGCAGATAGAAATATTGGCGCTGATATTGCTGGCCTCCTTTTGGAAATGGTAGTTGCATGGCAATCATGCCAATACACACACTTCGATGCTTTGGGAATCACTTCTCCATAACAAGTAGAAGTCAAGACTGATCTGCACACTTGTTCCAAATAAGTGACAAACAAAGTGCTAAAACGACTAGATGACCCTCACAGTGAGACCTCTCTAGAGCCAGAACCTACTGTGGCCACCCCCTTCCCTGTCTGTCCCCCCAATTAATGCTGGAACAACAGAGAGGGGAGGGGGAATCCCTGTGAGGAATGGTGACCAACTATCTCTCTGCAGGGAGAAAACCGTTGAGCTGAGCGATCAGCCGTGATCGCTCAGCTCATCATATACGGTATAGGGCCAGTGTGTGACAGCTGCAGTCTCCCATGCTAGCTCTGAATATTGGGAAGAGTATATTTTACTCTCCCAATACTTCTCAATAAATCTGAAACTAGTACAGGACTAAGCAAACCCTTTACTTATAAGTACCAGATTTTTCTGGGGGATTTGCCAGCATATCCTGGTAGTGGAGACTGAAGTTAATGTATAATGCCAGATATTTAGCATTGGACTTGTTGGTTGTTTGTTTTTTTCTGCAATGTTTCCTTTGTAAAGGGTTGTTTAGCAATAGCAGCAGCCTCTATTGCTAGAAGTTGTGTACTGGTGGCAAAACAAAGCTTTAGGTGTTGCTATACTCTAGTTTAATCAACATTTTAACGGTGTATAATATATTCGATTGGAAAGGTTAGCAAATAGTTAGCATAATATATATATATATGCTTATATTATGTAGCAACAAAATGTCACTTTCATAGTTTGTTGGTAAATTCAAGGTAATAATCATTGACATTTTGTTTGCTTCTCTAGTTAGGCCTGGTTCACACCTAGGTGGCATTGTGTTTGCTTGTTTGTATGCGCGGGCTCAGCGTGCGGTTATTTGCACTTTGGCACATTTTTACGTGTGTGAAAATGCGTGCACATGAAGATGCGCCTTTTGACTGGCAGCTTAACCACTTGCTGACCGGAGCAATTTCTTACATTTGCACACACATGATAAAATCTGAATTTTTGGCTAGAAAACAGCTTCAGACCCACCAAACAACTATATATTTTCTGAAAGCAGAGGTCCTATAGAATGAAAAGATGCTAGTTGCAATGTTTTATGTTACATGGTATTTGTGCAAATGTTTATCAAACCAGTATTTTTAGGATAAAATACACTAAAATGAAATTTAGTACACAGAAACAGAATATAATACCCAATTTTTCTGTAAAATATAAAAGATGAGGTCACACCGGGTAAATAGATACCAAACATGTCAAGCCTTAAAATTGTGTGCGTGTGTGAAACCGCACAAAACTACGATACCAAAAATTTACCATAGGAAAAGCTTTAAACATTTTAATGCTCATCAGTTTAGTGTTAACAGTGATTGATGGCCCTAGAATTATTGCTCCCATTTGGACGTTTGCGGTGATATGTAACATGTGTGGCACAAGTTTCATTTTTGCACGTATGCGCATCCGATGCGTGTTTGCGTTGTATGTGCATGCATGTGGGGGGCGTGGGACTTTAAAAAAATGTGGGGGGCATTTTTTTATGTTACTTTATTGCTAACAAGCCCCCTATGTAATAGCAAATAGGATGTGACAGGTCCTCTTTATGGAGACATCAGAGGTCTTTCAGACCCCTAATGTCACCTAGAGACTTCAAAGAAGCTGATGAAGCAGATATATGCTTCACCAGCTTCTTCTCCTGGATCTAGAAGCCGGAGAATGTGCACAGTGACACTGGAAGTAATGTAATACACATCACTTCCGGGTCCAGTGATTGGAGGAGAGATCAGCGGCTAGAAGCCTGCTGATCTACTTCCGATCTGTCAGGGGAGACCTGCTGTGCCAGTCCCGGGCCTGCATGGGGGGACAGTGGAGCCCAAGGAAGCTGGTGGTGGTGGAGGACACATAGGGCCACACCGTACAAGCAATCCGAAGCCTGTACAGACGTTGGATCATTTGTATAGAAACAGCAATTGCCTGCTGTTTAAAATGGTATCAAGAGCTGCTGCGGTTCTTGATATAACCACTTCAAGTGGGTGGCGTGTATTTACGTGAGCCCGCTTGAAATGGTTAAGAAACATTATGGTCAATGGACCGATCCACATACAAACATACAAAAATGCACATGAAAAATATGCAACATGCTTCTGCTGTGTGTTTTCTGACATTTCCATTGAAGTCTATGGGGGAAAAACTTGCTTAAAACTGCCAAAAGAAGCCCATGTACTTTTTTCTGTGTTTGGTGTTTTCCTGCTGACGTGTGAACAGGGTTCATTGAAAATCATGGGATTTCATGTCCTGGGCGTTTAAAAGCGCTTTTCCTACTGCTCGAAAATGCCTATGTGTGAACCAGGCCTAACACAAATGTATCTGAAAGTTATTCTTGAGGGAGAAACAAGTGCAAGGCCAAATATTTTGTCTCACAGGGAAGTTGAAAGACTCTTGCCAAACTATCTGTACACTAGTTTTGTCTTGTTCCATCATGACCTTATTTTATCTGCTTTAATAACAGCAACTGCTTTGCAATAACATTACCCAGATGCTTAACTGTCAGGTTATTAGAATCAGGATGATTCTCTTATGCTATTTTATATGACACAGATGACATGAAGAACTGACAAATCTTTGTTCAATCTTCATATATGAAAAATAATATTTACACTTCATGCTATTCCTTCTTCTATAACAAAGAGTGCAAGATCTGGTTCTGCCTCTGTTTTGTCCACATCCCCTTTTCCGTAGCGGTTGACGACATGTGGTGACAACAGCTATCAGCCCAAGAGCAACCCATGTTACTCCTATAAGTAGGAGAACAGGGTTGTGTCTGAAGAACACAGAGGTGGGATTTTAGGTCCTCCCCTAGGCTTTGTGGTTGATTAGTGCATAACAAAAACAGTGCATGGCATGACCTAACCTATCAACCTATGCAATAAGCTTAGAGGACGAATTTGGGACCACTAACTCTCTTGTCTGGCTGTATGGCTGTAGTTTGCTAGGTGGCCATTTCAGGACAGTGTAAAGAGCAAGTCTTGGCATTCATTAATTTGCACAAATGTTATGAAAACCAAAAAAAATCATGAATAAATGAACAATTAAGTTATTTTTTCAAATTGCATAATATATCAATTCAATGAAATGTTTTCTTTTTGTATAGAAATTTGCATCTTACAAATTTGTTTCTGGTACAAGTTGTAAATATTTGGAACCAGGAAGTTATAAAGTCAGTTATTTTTAACAGTTTGTTAGTTGGCAGACTAGTACATAATCAGTATGTGCTAGACTAGAATATGAAATGGCCCCTGAGACACATGTGCGTCCCCGGAACATGTGGGCGCTGAATTGTTCAGTCTGCAGAAACATCTGAAGGATAATCCAAGTTGTCTCTTTCTCTCCCCTCAGACTGTATTCGGATAGTGTGCGGGCCCAGTAAGTCTCAAGCTGTATCTTTGCTCTTAATGCGCTATCTACTGAACCTGTTTTTCTATTTACTTGTCAACTTTACAGTATATATATATCTTTCTCTCAACTCTGTCTATTGTTCTGTAAAGTGCATTCTCTCTGTCCTCCTTCATTGTTTCCTTCTTGCACACCTTAACTCTCAATTTCATTTATAATGTGTCATTTGGATTACATAATTCTACTAATTTTGTTTTAACCTGGACATACAAATGTAAATCATATATGCATAAGCAACAGACTTGAAAATTATCAGTTAATTGATAGTTTCAATAAAATATGCTTTAATGTTTTTTTTTTTTACCCTTTAGTGTTTTTGTTGTTTTCTGACATTCATCTTTCTCTCTCTAATGGCTGGCAACTGTGGGGAAGATATAATGAATTGTTAATACCTGTTCTTAATACCTGCACTTTCCCTGTACTGGGCCTATTTCTAAATGCAGACATGTAAGAACTGCCAGTAATAAAAACATTGTTTAAAAGGTGTGATGAAAACTGTTTAAAAGACATAATAAAAAGTGATTAAAATAGGATTTTTGTACTTACCATAAAATCATTTTCTTTGAGTCTTTGAGGGACATAGAATGGCTTTCACCTTCAGGGTTAAACTGTACAAGATGACTGGACACTGGCACTGGCAAATAATAAAGCTTTAGGCCAGCCCAGGATAACTCCTCTTACTACCAGCACACCACAGTTATGTAACAAAGCAGTACCATGAGCATGATCATAAACACAGAGGGGTGTGACATTTGTACCTCAAACACCCAAAAAATGTATGTAGTGTGTAGTGAGTAAAAAAAAAAAAAAAACATTTTCTTTTTTAGTCATTGAGGGACACATGAAGTGCAAAATCAGTCCAGCTGAGGGGTGGGAAACACAGCAGACAAATGCCCAAGAAAACAATAAAAACTGGGGCTGCCTGCAGCTTAAATAGCCACCTGAAGGACATTTTGCTCAAAGCCGGCTTCAGATGAGGCCTCAACATCCACCTGGCAAATCTTAGAGAATGTGTGAACAGAAGATTAGGTGGAAGCCTTGCAATTCTGAGAAATAGTTGTTAGATGTTGAAAAGCCCAAGATGCACTCTCAAATCTAGTAGAGTGGGCCTTAACAGGAAAAAGTGAAACCCTATCCTTGGGATCATATGCTTGGTTAAGGTCTGTTTGAGTCACCCAGAGATGGTGCAATGAAAAGCTGGTGCACCATTATGGAACCCATCCAGGATGGCAAAAAGAGAATCTGTCTTTTTGAAAGAAGCCGTGGCTGAGAAATGGACTCTTACAGCTTAAACTACATCAAGACAATATAGGGAAATGTCCTTTTAGTGAACTGGAGCAGAGAAAGACATAGAAGAAAAATGTCCTGGTTGCAACACCAGATAATATGCTGGCCTTTTTCTGGACCTCATTTTAATGTGTCTCTTTATCTTGTACAACTTATATTTTATTAAAAAGAACTTCAGTTTGCCAGATCTGTTCCTGCAAATAGCAAATTGAATGCACATGATATATTTCAATCACTTTAACCCCGTTTTTGAGATCCAGTTACCACTAGGAAAACTCTAGTCTCCTCTCACTTCAGACACCTGCTGGGTAAAAAAAAAATCTCCCTGCAAAAGTTGCCAGCCTGTTCTTCTACTTTTTACTTATCTCCCCTTCTTTCTCTGTTAAAGTCCATCTGTACATGGAATTCCCCATCCTAAAACCTAAAGTTTTATCTTACGCCTTATCATTAATCAGTCATATTTTAATGTTATCAAAGCCAGCTGGTAGATTGTATTTAGTGTATAGAAGTAAAAAAAAAAAAACCCAGCATGCTGTTATGAGGATTACTAAAGTGTTCTAGTTACTACAATTGCACAAATAGCCTGCAAATCACAAAATAGTATGCTAAGAATATGTGTAGCCCAACATTCAAAATGTAGTGCATATTTAACAAATGATATACCCATCACAAAAGTCTGAGTAAAAATGATTGCTGAGACCAGACCAGACTTTAAAGATATCAACCAAAATTATTTTTCACCTTGTTTTAAAAATAATTCTCTACAGATGGTAGTTTTCCAGAAACAACAAAATAGTTATTTAGAATACAGGGAAACTGCAGTGTAATAGGTTTCTTCAACTGTTCATAATGCAAATTATAAGAAGCATCACTTACCCTAATATCAAACAAGTTGTAAGAAACAATAGCAGAATAAAATATTATCATTCCCTTTGTTACATTAACATTAGTTGAATCATGAATCCTTAGATAGATAGATAGATAGATAGATAGATAGATAGATAGATAGATGTAAGACAAGAAACAAAACACATAAAACCACCCACCAGATTCTACATGTCATTATGTAGTAGATGCTGGCACACACATAGGTAGAGCTAAAAGCATATTTGTTTTTGCAGATTCTGATTTCACTTCTTTTCTATTCATTGCAGGTAAGGGCCCAGAGACGCTGTTCGCAGGACAAAAGCTAAACGATAATGAATGGCACACAGTTAGAGTACTACGTAGAGGAAAATATCTGCAGCTCAGTGTGGACAATGTCACAGTAGAAGGTATTATTTAAATATTTTTGAAACTAAAACCTTTGCTTTTCAGCGCTGCATATTACCAAATACTAAAGTTTAAATGAGGAAGTTTGCTATTATTATGGTATGCCACAACATACCATAATAATAGCCTAGAAATGTTACATTTTGATAAACTTATTGACCCTCATTTGGGATCTTAGCAGCTTTTAACCCTTGCTTTTTGATCAGGTAGAAAATGAAGATGCTTTGCTTGAAAAAGTTAGTTTTTTAATTTTTTGTTACTATTACAATACACATTAAAGTGACATTAAAGTCAAATCCCCCCCCCCCCCCCCCCCCCCTTATCTTTTTCCTTCCAATCGTTTTTAGCAGTCCCTCCAGCACTTGTGCTGATCTCTGATCCAGTGCAGACTGCTGTCTCTTGCTGTCCCACGGAGTCTGTCCAAGCATGCATGCTCATGGCTGCATGCATTGACTTACACAGTAGCTCTCCTCCTCTCCCCGCCTATGATCTCTACTGCGCATGCTCCTGCATGGCCGCTCGAGAAGCTGCAGCCAGGAGCGAGCAGCGGAGACGGGTAAGTTTTACATATTTGGTAACGTTTGTCAAATGTTTTGCTAGCAGTAGATATACGTAAAACAAATTAAGACTTTAATGTCACTTTAAGCCTTTAAATTAGCACTACAAGTATTGTGCAAAAACATACACACTTCTCCTTTTATATTTACTAACAGTTACTTAGTGCAAGGGCCTACCTAAACAATATGTTCTATTTATATCCAAACAGTACATCTATAGCTGATTATATACTATACAATTTGATTGTACAAACTCCTTTAGATTTACCTAAACAATCCACTTTATTAGTACCAAATCAGGCACACCCTTGCACTACATAGTTAATGGTAAATCTGAAAGAGATTGTACAATCAGATTGTATAGTATATGCCAGCTTAACGAGTATTGTAAAATCAGATTGTAATGTGCGGGGCCAGCTTTACACCTGAACTAATGCAAACATTTCCAAATTAAAATGTGTGAGGTCTTAACAATTGTCAAAATCCAGGGCTGGATCTGTAACACACGGTATGTATTATTGTACCCTGGATCAACATTAACCAGGAAGGCCTATTGTCAAAACTATCTAATAACAAAAGAAACTGAAGGCACCTACGACACTGTTACATTTTATTTTAAAATATGGGTGAATGGTAATTAGCCAAAGAATGAAGATTATATTTGTTAAACCAGGAGTCGACAAACAATATGCATTTCAAGAGTCAGTCTGTCCAATCCAGGAGCCAGCATGATTTTTTTAGGAACCAGCTTAATTGGCCACAAGTAGAGAAACCGTCAGAAGTTTGGTGCCAGCTGTAATTTGTAAGGAGCTCCTGGGATTTCAAAAGTACAGATTTAAGGTTATGTGGGGAAATCTGTGGTATAGTGAGACATTACTAATATTCAATACTAATACTTTAAGTATGATTTACTAAACAAACAGAAGCTATTCACCTAGAAAAGTGAATGGTCACTTTACAAAGTGAATGTTGGTGAATAAGGTAAATTATTCATTTTAATCCCCAATTATGTTTGATGGGAATAAAAAAAACAACTGTATTTTTGCTTGCAAATTAAAAGGGACACGTTTAGCTGTTATAAATAATTAATAATGAATTGCTTATCAAACGTGATGTCCTATCCCTGCTACATCTTACCCTGCTGCCTGTGTGCAGGGTTATATGCAGCTAAACCCTACTACCCTTTAAAAAAAACAGACTGTATGTAAAAGTCTTTAAATTAAATTTGAAAAACTGTAGTTGAAACTGAGAAGAGAAGCCAGACCACAGGCAAATATGCAATAAGAATACACATATAAAACAGACAACAGTGTCTCTGAACTGCTCAAAAGATATGGTAGGTAGGTATGGGTGTAAATAAAGTTCAAATCTTACCAGTGCTGCTCTCACTAAAGGGAAAAATGGATGCTCCCCTGAACATGTGGGGAAGATGGTAGCTGGGCTTCTTTGAATGTTTCCTCTTGCTGAGAGTGAGGAAATAGGGAAAGTATGGAGCATTGTAAGGTTAGCAAACACTGCTTTCACAGGTTTGGATGCATTTATACAAGGTAATGCAGTGCCACTAGGTGGAGCCCAAAACAAAGTTAGCAGTAATAACAAAAAACATTGTAAAAAATCTGCCTGGTATAATCGGATACCACTATTTGCGTTCTCAGTTGATAAAAGTAAGGTCAGTTCAGAAACGGGTATTAAGAGCAGATTGGTTTCTTCTTTTCTACAGATTTTGACTTCACCTTTGCAGGCTTTCTCATTCTTGGTAGGGAAGTTTTGTTGACAAGACCCAGTGGGCACTTGTTTCTTTATGAATGGCAGTCTTTACAAGAACAACATCACCAGGTTTCAAATTGGATCTAGGAAGTTTACCGCCTAATCCATGTCTGCAAAGTGAAGATGTACTGTTTCTTCCACCTGTCAAAGAAGGTGTTTGCAATACTTTACACTAGAGCAAATATAATTTCTTGGTTTTGAACCCTAAAAGGAGCACTGACTACCCTAGTTTACTTACTAAGGAGAGGTTTTCCGCTTCCAGAGGGGGTGGTGGCAACTCTTGAAGTGGAGATAAGAGTTGCCAGCTGTGGGTTTGGCGTGGTCGAAACACCACGCCATCCTGAAAGAGGGACTACTACCACCACCACTCCACCCCATCCTCTTGACCACCACCGGACGATTACAAGCGAATACTCACCCAGCCTCAGGTGAGTACAACTCTTACGCCTACACCTCACTCTACCACATTTATTGCGCTAGGTAGTGGCGCTTCCGTCTCCAATTTTTGTTTCCCTAAGTAAAAAGAAATCCTCTTGGTCAGTGGTTCTCAACCTGTGTAACCTCAGGACCCACATTTGTCCTTGGTCATTAAGTCATGACCCAAGTCGCACTGCACTGGAACACCCGGCATTGTGGTACCACGTGTTCCGATGCAGCCGATCAAATTGTGGGTGGGAGGTGCATTTGACGTGCCATTCAAATGAATGGCAATGCAACACACCTACCACATCAGAACGGGACTGTACGATTAATGCACTGTACTAGTGTGAACAGGCCCTCAAAAACACTGACAAACACACACAAGCACAGACATATTCTCACACACACACACACTCCGAAAAAAAGTTATATGTTTAAGATCCACTTAGTCTTTCTATCTTATGAGAACTGGAGTGGATCCTTAGCCTGGGGTCCAGTGTGGGCTGCTGTGCTGCGATGGAGCCCCATCCATATGTGCATTGCTTGTACAGCTCCCTAGCGTGCGCTGTAGAGGTGCCGGGAGCCAGAATGTGACGTCACTCTGGTCCAGGCACCTCTACAGGACATGGGAGGGAGCTGTAGGCAATGCACGTATGGATGGAGCTCCGTCGCTGCCATAACCCCAGCCCACCCCACTTCAAGCTGACACTCGGTGCCGGGCAGCATATTTTGAATGGCTGCTTGGCACGAGAACTGATAGTGCTGCTCTAGGGGAGGCTGAGGAGCCTCTCACCTAGAAAAGGGGAAAGCGTGCCGCGACCCACTGAACATGGGGTCGCGACCCACTTTTGGGTCATGACCCATCAGTTGAGAGCCAAGGCTCTAGGTCATTTAACACTTGAGTTAAAGTTCTGGCATTGATGATGGCTGAGACATGTGCCACATAGGTTTATAGACTCATAAGTGAGACCTGTATTTCCCACTTTTAGTAAAATGGAATAAAGGATTTTGCAAACCATGCCAATCATTCTTTCCCAGGCACATTTCATATGAGAACAGTGAGGCAGGTTGAAAGTCCATGTACAGTCCTGATCACTCCCTTATCTCTCCACACTTTTGGTACAAATATTTGTAGTGATTTGCATCTGTCCAAACTGACTTGTTTTGCGGGGCTTCAGTTAGCAATGAAAACATCTGGGGGCATTTATGAAAGTTGAAGCTAATCTGTATTTAATGTGTCTCCCTTAGGAGCAGTCTGTTCTGTGTTATAAAAGAATGCAGAGCATGTAAGCAATGTTATTCTTTGAGGTGACTTGCAGGAAAACCTCTTGTAGTGTGGCATCCTGGGTACCCGCATTCGTATCTGTTTGTGCACCTCGTTTGAAGTACGGCCCCATTGATTTCAGGCCTCATTGCTCTATTTGTTTTAGGTGTTGGTGAACTCTTGCAACTGATACCAGGATATGGTCAGATGATATCTATGATCAGGGATATGATTGCATTCAATTACAGCTGGAAATGACAGGAAAGGAAAGGCATGTTTGTCCATCTATGGATTCAACTTGGTAGCCAGGTGCTGTCCTCCCTGCCGTTTCCACAATTTATGCACACATTTTTGGTGAGCAAAGAGCATTGGGTCCCTTATTACTGAAGGAGTCAAAGAAACTTAAACAGGCCAAGTATTTGTTACTTTGGTCATCTAGAATTATAGAAGGCTTACTGGTTTTATAATTTTTTTTATGTTTTGGATGGGATGAGGAAAGGTCAGGTTTTACTGATATATGGGGCTATGTTAGAGAGATTTGCCCTCATTTCCGGTCCTGTTTTTACCAGACAGGAAGTGAAAAAATATTTCCAAAGGAGTCTCCAAATGCGGTAACCTTACTAATCCTTCCCACTCTATCCAAAACTAAAAATAGGATTGTTGTTTTACCTATAAAATTCTCCTAATGGAGTACAGGACACAGTATGGTATTCAGGAATGTAGGATTATGCTGCCTCTTCAGGAGACTGGACACTGGCAAAGCAAATTTGTTAGGGCAGTCTCGCAAAACCCCTCTCACTCACAGCAAGTTTCATGTTTTGTATCCAAACAACAGTAGAAATGGATCATAAGAACAGATGGACAGGAACTGTGTTCTGTAATGTACTCCAATAAAACCTAAAAAAACACCTTCTTTTGATACGTTCTCTAATAAAATAATTTTACAGATAAAACAAAAACCCTATTTTCTTACATTACAGGACATCAGATTTTATTTAGGAATGTGGGGATGTCCCCAAGCAATTAACTAGAGGGATAGGCAACATAAAGGGCTTGAGAGAAGCTCGCAAAATCACCTGAAGGACATTAGCACCAAAGCTGGCATCAGAGGAAACCTGAATATCTACATGGCAAAAATAAACAGAGGACCACTTAGCAGCCTGGAATATCTAAGAAACAGATGCCTGATAGGAAGCACAAGTGTGCGCTTTGATAGGAGAAGGTGAACCCGTGCCTTTAAGCCCATAAGCTTGAATGATTAATTGTGTAATCCACCTGTGGAGCAAGAAACAGGTTGTCTTTTGAGGGGACCCTCAGGAACGACAAACAGAGTTGGTTTGTTTGAATGAAGCTTTAGTTGAGAAGTAGGTTCCAACAACATGCGCCACATCTAGACAGTGGATGGATACCTCCTCGGGACTGCCAGGAGCAGGGCAATGTTCTGGTTAAGGCAGAAGAGAGAAACCATCTTGGGAAGAAAGGAGACTTTTGTCCTCAAAACAATCTTGTCTCTATGCTGTAAAAGGAAAGGTTTCTTACAGGTCTAGGCTGACAGCTGAGAGACATAGTGTACAGACATGATGGTAACAAGAAAGGTGACCTTGTGGGTGAGAATCCACAGGAGAATATCCCTGATGGCCTCAAAGGGTGGTTTCTGGTGAGTCGACAGAACCAGGTTTCAATCGCATGATGATTTGAAGGGGAATGAAGAGGTGGAGCAATCTAAGCAATATCCTGTAAAGGGGTTTTCGCTATGGCGTGAAAAACTAGCTTTTGAAAAAGAATCACAAGGGCTTGGATCTGGCCCTTGATCGTGTTTGAGGACTGTAATCTAGACCTGATTAGAGAAAAGACAGAATCTTTTCCCATGGAGTACTTCCTGGGATGGAAATGCCTTGCCTCGCACCGCAAGAAATACTCTTTCCAGGTATAATAGTAGACCTTAAAAGAGGTTGACTTCCTGGTTTTTAAAAGCAATGGGCTAACTAAAGTGCATAAACCCCTATCCTTGGGGACTTAGCACAACAGGCTGTTAAAGCCAGCAACTGTGAAGAAGGGGTAAACCAGCACCTGTGACAGACGATTCAGATGATGTGAGGGGGCCACAGATAATTTTCTAAGAGACTCATGTATGCTAAAAGCACCATGTCTGCCAGTATATTGTGAGGAGAATTACCAGAATGCCCCATTTCAATCCTGAGTAACAGATGAAGAAAGAGCTTTAGATAAAGAAAGAAAGGCGTAGATTAAACTAAACCGATCCCAAGGAGTCACCAGAGTCGCTGCTAGTGCCGGGGGGTCCCTGGAAATAAACACAAACCTTTTCAGTTTGTTGATGAAGCCAGGAGGTCCATGTCCAACATCCCCTATCCATGACAGAGGTCTATAAACACCTCCCAGGTGAAAAGATCACTTTCCAGAGTCCAGACATTGATGACTGAAAAAGTCCATTTGCCAATTTTCCATACCTGGAATACGGACTTTGGATTGTGCTGTTATGTAAAGTTCCAGCCAAGTCAGAATCTGATCTCCCTCTTTTTGAGCTGTGAGACTTCTGGCTCCCCCTTTGTAGTCGATGTAAACCACTGCTGTGGTGTTGTCCAGATGCCCCCTTAGTTGAGGGGTCCCACACTGATTTGGATAACCAAAGAAAGCTCAAGAATGTTGTTCAGGAGACAAGCCTCTCCAGTGACCATGTCATTTGGCTGAGAGAGTCCAAGTCTAAGACTCCTCCCCAGCCCGACACGCCAGAATCCATCGTTATGTGCTTCCAGCAGAGTGGTAGGTATGACTTCCCCAACTCCAGCAGTGGGTCTTGGAATGTAGGTAAATTTGTGTTGGTTCAGAGACTGAGACTTCTTGTCTAATGCAGCCAGAATGTTGAGTTGAACAGTCTGGAGTGAAATTAAGTGTAAGGTACCACCTCAACAGAGTCTACCATTAAGCCCAGAACCCTCATACAGATGTGGAAGGATGGTTGGCCCCTGGACTGAAGTGTCCTAATGTAGGAGTGTTTGAATCTTTTCCTGTGGAAGGAAAATTCTGGGCAGGGAGGTGTTTAGTGGAAGGCCAAATACTCTGTGATGAGTTGGTTCCAGTCCACTTGAACCTCTGCAGGATTTGCATAGTTTGTTGGATATTGACTGTGATGACTGTTCCCTCAGTAGAAGGTCATCCAGGTAACCACTATAGATATTTTCCATTAAAAAAGTTGAGCAAGTACAGGGGCCAGTATCTTGGTGAAAATCTGTGGTGCCATGGACAGACCAAATGTGATAGCAACAAATTGGTAGTGTTGTGTGCCCAACGGAAAGTGCAAGTAGCGTTGATGTGTGTGCTAGATATGGACATGCAAGAAATTCTAAAGTAATAGACATGTGCGATTCATTTTGTTCCAAAATGACATTCACATGAATTTCTGCACATTTAGATATTTGGATGCATCCAAATTTCTGAATAACAGAAATAAGTTATCTGAATGTTTGAAATTCGGATACATACGAATGTAATTCAGAACAAAACAGAGAAGCGCTATGTATGTGTCATTTACAGCTCTCCACTTCTCTGCACTTTCCTGACATTCTGAACGTATCGGAATTATATTATAGAACATAAACAAAGAAAAAAGCTCAAATCTGTGTGTTATTCTGTTCTCAGCTTCTTTGCTACATTTGGACTGTATCCCGAATGTAAACAAAGAAGCTGACAGCTGTCACAGAATGCATAAAAGTGTTTAACTTTTCAAATAAACAATATTTTTTTTTTACAAACAGCATGGGATTCCCCTCCCCTATTCATATAAGACCCTTTAGGTCTGTAGGTATAAATGTTAGTAGGGACCCTGATGGACCCTGATGTAAAAAAAAACAAAAAACAAACAGCATGCAGTTCCCCTGACAATGAATACAAAATCCTTTAGGTCTGGTAGGAATTTTAAGGAGAACCCAACACCAAAAAAGGGGTCCCCCCTAAAATCTCATACCAGACCCTCAATCTGGGCAGCAACCTGGGTGGGCAGGAAAGGGGGGGGGACAAGCGAGCAGCCCCTTCTTCCTGCACCATGCCAGACCATATGCCCTCAGCATTGGGAGGGTGCTTTTCCAGGGGGGGACTCCCTGGAAAAGCACCTTTTCCCCATGCGGATGGGGGTAAGGGCCTCTTCCCCCACAATGCTGACCCGGTGGTTGTGGGGGGTCTGTGGGCAGGGGGCTCTCAACATCTGGGTACCCGCTTTCATAAAGGGGGCTCCCAGATGCCGCCCCCCTTGTGAATGAGCAAGGTGTACTTGTACCCCTACACATTTAATAAAGGGTTAAAGAAAATATAAATAAATACACAACACCTTAGAAAAAAAATTATTTATTTAAACAAAAACCCAAGTTTTCGACAATTTCTTTATTTAAGAAAAAAACTGTCCCACAATGTCAATTCAGCAACAATCAGGTCCTCCAGCAATGTAATCCAAAGTCACCCACAAAAACAAAAGAAACAATTGCAAACAATGCATTGTGGGCAGAAATAAACAAAGCCTGCTATTGGCTATTTCAAATTGAAATAGCCAATAGCAGGCTGGCTAATGCTCGCTGTGTTTTGTTTTTTTTAACCTCAGGTCCCCCCTAACATTCCTACTAGACCAAAGGGGTCTGGCATGAATAGGGGAGGGGAACCCCACGCGGTTTTTTTTTAAATTGTTTCTGTGAATTGTCAAAAGTTTAAAAAAAAACAAAGTAAACATTTAATGTCACTTTTCTTCAACAAATTTGTGTTCCTAATTATCATTTAACTCATCCTAAATAACAAAAATGAAGATTAATCTGCAACAAATTGACTTTAAGGCCCCAATCCCGAAAAACAAAATAAGGAAACAGCTGAAGCAAAACAAAACTAGCCTAACATTTTTTTTGCCAGCGCACATATCTAGTAGGTAAGCAATGACTGATCTGGTAGATTCCACCTTACATTTTTGAAACAAAGGAAGGTGCTTAGAAACTTCAGATCCAGGATGGGCTGAGTGCTGCTGTTGAGCTTTGGGACCATGAACGGGTTTCAGTAAAACCCCTGAAACTTTTCCTCTTCTGAGAAAAAAACACTACTCTATAAGAATGGAGCTGAGCCAGAACAGAGATCTGCTAGCCTTTGCTGGGATGCTGGGAGGTTTGACAACTAGGAAGGGTGGGTGAAGAGGGTAAAACTGTAACCTATAGCCCCTGGTGAATATATTCCGTACTTTAAATAACTAGAAAGTCCTGGGTCCAGGTATCAGCAAAGGTCTCCAAACCCCCCCCCCCCCATGAGCCGGGGGGGGGGTTCCTTCCCAAACCCCCCCCCCCCCATGAGCAGGTGGAGGTGTTCCTTCATTGTAGGACTTGGCCACAGGCTTAGAGGATTTTGGAGTCCGTGGCTTGCAACAGAACTGGGTCCTACATCCATCCGCTCGTCCCGCATGACTTTCTGGGTAAACCTGTTCTGGGTAGAACAAAAGAGGTTTCTCCCCTGAAATGCATATTCACTTGTGTTTGGCTAAAAATCTGGAGAGCAACGTCAAAGCCCATCTGACTGTTTCATGTTCAACAGGAATAAACAAATTCATGTATTGGCCAGGTGATTCTGTACCTCTGAAATACACACAACTGTCAAATCCAGTAAATATTGATGAGCGCATTCAAAAATTGCATAACCCGCCCTCATTGGGGTACACCCTCTTGTTCTCCCTTGTCTTTGGATGCATGTCACCACTGTTGAACCGTTATCCAGATGAAGAAGTACTCTCCAACCTATCAACAGGGGGGTTGTCAGAATGTTTATACTGCTCTGATATACAGTCTTATGTTTATGGAAACAAATTAGAATCTATAGTTAAGGAGATTCCCAATGTATTTCCATAAATCAAAATTTACGCTAGTTCTTTTATTTGTGCTGACTTCGAAGACAAGAGGAATACCAAAGTATACAAAATATAGATATTTATTTATCAAAAATCAGTGCAAAAATAATAATAAAATATAATTGATAACAAACAAAGAATATGGATCAGATAATAACAATTAATTTGATATCACAGGTAATGCATAAAAATGTTACTACTGGATATTGTTAGAAATATAAATGTAACCAAGATAAAATGACTTTTTAAATGTAATTGGTATCTTCTCAGTATCTCACAGAATAAGAAAACAAAAGGCTCAGAATTGACATGTGACTTCTCTCAGCACAGATATTCACCAACTCAAACTTTTAACAGCGCATGGGCGATATTTATCCCATCATGCACAGGGCTGGCGAAAAGCCCAGACCAGTCAAAGTAGAGAAAAATTACCACCACTTTAATTAAATATATATCAGACTAGACCATTGACTAGAAACTGAAATCAGTTTCCTGGAGATTATACAAATGTATATAACAAAAGTATATAATTATCTCCCCAAATTGAAAGACACAATTTTTACTGCAGTTAAAAATTATCTCAAATCAATTTAGATTCTACAAGAACTCAATGGTTTACCCAAATATATATATGTGGCTAATGAATTGCCTAATATACAGATATAAAGTATACTTTTTCAGCAATTTAAATTTAGTTGTTTTGAAATAAGTCAGCAGTCAATGCTCAGCAACCAGGGATAGTCAGGTTCTCTTTAGTTCAGTTTCCTTGGACAGCCGTCCTCAGCTTCTGACCTATACCCTTGGAATGTATTTGCTTACTGCCTTGTCTTGTTCGACTCTCTCTGATGATGGAATCTTCCCCCTGGGAACCTACTCCCCTCAGTGGCGTAACCAGAGTTATGGGCACCCGGGGCAGACATTTGATCTCCTTACTGTGGATAAATAATTGTTTATGCGGATTGGGCTTGTGGGTGGGGCTTGTATATGGGCAGAGCATAATGGGGCCCCATAATCTCCCATTGCCTGGGGCCTCATGTGTTGTCAGTCTGCCCCTGGTTAGGATGCTGTGTGGCTTCTGCTGCCTAGCATCCTTTGATCACTAGGATGCAGTTGGCTATTGCTCCCTAGTATTCTTTGGTTGCTATGACATTGGTGGATATTGCCACCCAGCATTTTTTGGATGCTAGGACACATGTGTCTATTGCAGCATAGTATCCTTTGGTTGCTAGGATGCAGTGGCTTCTGCTGCCTAGTTCTTAGGACACAACATTTACTGATCTTTATGTCTTTCGGTGTGCATGGGCCAATAGAAAACAATATACCTGTGATCAGTTCTGTAAAAAAAGCTGTACTGATGAAAACCAAGCATTTTGTTTACCCCCATGTGCATGAGCGCTTAATTGCAGAATTTTTCCTTTACATAAAAATTTAATTCACTTGCATATTCCCCTGAGGACGTCTTTTGATGACGAAACATGTAGGGGCGGGCCTATCTCGACACCATACCAAACGGATTACCTTGTAATATCAGACCGGCCGGCTGTGAATCTTTTAAATCTATTGTCTAATAAACTGTTTTAAACTGCTACACGATGAAGGACTTTCTTTTTCTATGATTGGATGGATTTCATATACTTTGGAGATCTATGGTAAAGTTTTTGCTTCACCGAGGACGCCGCAATATTGTGCCACACCAGACAAAACGTTTTGGGCTGTTTGCTGCAGCCAAAAGAGTTCGGTGAGTACGCACTCTGAAGGGGTGGACGAGTGGACACAAATACGATCCTCAGCAAGCTTCATTTACGGTCTAGGCATCTGGAGGCTGCATAAATTGCACTTTAATGGATAAACGTTTACACAGGGATATGTGTTTGCACTGAGATCACTTGAATATATGGATTGATCACTATGTGATATACATTTATTTATTTTTCTATCACTCATTTACATTTTTTTTTACTCATTGCACTGAAGTGGATATTT